CTGTTGCATATTCACATTCTGTTGCATATTCTCATCCTGTTGCATATTAACAGTTCCTGACCTTCAAGGATGCCAACTGGAGTATTCGCTTCACGCAGCCCACTGACAACGCCCAACTTTCCAAAGTGTGGGAGTTCATGGTTCCGTCGGACGGAGTCAAGGACTTGTGGCAGAAGAAGATCTATTCACTCGGCGAGGAAGGTACAAAATATGTGTGTACACATGCGTAGATGAACATGCATGCATGTTTGCATTTCATATGGATGGGTGTATGTACGTACAAATGTATGGTTCATATTTGATTCAAGTGACTCACACGCACACGCACACTCACACTCTGCCATTTATTGCCCACTAGTTAGAGTGACCGAGGATACCTATCAATACGCATACGCACACTCATACTCATGCACTCACCCACTCACTCGCTCTCTCACACTCACTCACTCACTCACTCACTCACTCACCCACATCCACACGTACACTCACACTGTGTCATCGATTGCTCTGTGCAGAAGTCAAAGACGATCGACGTCGCAAGAACATTGAGCGGATGAAAGAGATAGTCAAAGGAGCGTCGTGCAGACTCTCTACTGACGACAGGCGCAAGCACGGCGATCGGGAGACCCACAGACAGGACAGTACCACGTCTCCCGCCAAAATGCTGCAGCTGGTAACAGACCCCGAACTGCTGGCCGACGATGCGGTGAGTGTGGGAGTGGGCGTAGGGGAGGTGGAGGGAGACAGGTGTAGGTAGACATGTGTAGGTAGACATGGGAGTATACTACGTTAATAGCCGATCGATTGGTTTAACTTTTTAACAAACGTATTAATGTTCTGCTCATATGCTCGGCATAGACTCGTGCGGAAGGACTAAAAGCACTGGAGACCAAACGACAAGAGATCGAGATGCAGATGGCAGTGGAGAAGAACATCAAGGATGGCATTGCGAGCATCCTGACGGTATAACAGTATAGTCTGTGTGTGACACGCATTCATGGTATATTGCTCAGTGTATGTGTATTGTCAGTGTGGTTTTTATTTATGACATATACCTATAGAAGCGGTAGTAATGGGTGTGCGCTGTTTGTTCTCTGTGTGTTTTATACCCGCATATATACATACATGTATATGTGTTACTACACATACAACTATATATATATATATATATATATATATATGTGTGTGTGTGTGTGTG